GATGTTTTCACAATCCAAACTGCAGTCTGTCAGAAGCACATCAGGCTGTGAACATGTGACACATTCTCTGATCTGGTGCTTGTTTTGTTTTACAGATCCTCTCCTTCACTCCGGCTGGATTATTGGTATAACTCTCATTGTCGTTGCAATTGTGGTTCTTTTCGTCTTGCTTTGTTATCTTCAAAGGAGAAGAATCTGTAAGAACAATTGAACATTCCAACAAATAATCACAACATCAGCAAAATCCTGTTTGTTTCCTCTACATAGAAACTCAATGTTTCCAAGTCCTCCATAACTATGTACCCACCTGTTCGGTTAAACAGCCCAATATAACAAATCAAAGCTTTGCCTCAGAATGCTGAACAATGTGTACAACACAGGACGTCTTTTACTGCATCAGATAAGGATATACCTTTGTGTGGAAAATATACATGTGATATATTACCACAAGGTGCTTTTCATCACACTGGGAATGTCATGATTTGCTGTTTTGAAACAACCTCTAAGAGACGCAAATATCCCAACATATCAAATCCAACACATCAAAATGTGCTCCTTTTTGAGGATGGAGTAAATTAGACACCACCCAAAAGATGGAGTCAATTCATCTGCAGCTCAAGTAATGTAAATGTGCAACAGTTAAAATCTTTAAAGTGATGGGTTATTTTCTTCAACAACAGCAGATTCAAGACAGATCGTCAATAATACAGTTTATGAAGATCCTCAGGTAAGCGATGTGTCTTTTTAACAAATTAAGAATTTTTTTTTAGAAACATTGTGTAAAGGTTCTTTTAAGGTTTTCCAGGTGGGCTTTGTGCCGCTAGCTACTACGTGCACACAACTGCTACTTGTGTCACGGTGTGGGTTTGCTTCATGTTTAATTTAGTAGTTTCATGCCTTTCGTTGTACCTGGATTAACTTGACTTCCTGCCCAAAACTATGTGTCACCCAGGTTGTAGTGGCGATCTTCCCTCTGTCCTTATTACCACTACTGTTACAGTCTGTTTGGGCTGTGAGCTTAACGGATAATCAATCTTCATAGACAGCAACTCCGTTTCAAAAGATTTACTCAGCAAATAATTACAAGAAACATACAGTGCTCGACTTGGCACAGCGGTCAAAAAACTGTATTGCTCCGCAGACTGATTAACCTTGAGTGACGAATCAGGAATCAGGAATCAGGAAACATTTATTACCAAAATATGTCAAACATACAAGGAATTTGTCTTGGCGGTTAGTGCGCGACAGTAGACAGACAAGACAGCAGTGCACGTAAGTAATAAAATAAAGTAAAATGAAATACTAATGCAATGGGTTAGTAGAATAAGGCTATGGGTTAGTATAAAACAAGGGAATAAAGTTAAAAATGTAAAATATTAAAAAAGTTTAGCATATTAAGCATAAAGTGCACTAACGAACAAGTAACAAAGTGACGAGTGACGACAAAGTGATGAATTACAGTTAAAGTGGCATGTTCAGTATGAGGGGGAGTGACCGGTGGAATGTTATAGTCAGTCAGTGGGGGACCGGTTCTCTGTTGATGAGCCCGACTGCCGACGGGAAGAAACTGTTGGTGTGGCGGGAGGTCTTAGTCCTGATGGACCTCAGCCTCCTGCCAGATGGAAGGGGCACAAACAGTTTATGTCCGGGGTGAGAGGGGTCGGCCGCGATCTTTTTAGCTCGCTTCAGAGACCTGGAAGCGAACAAGTCCTGCAGGGACGGCAGATTGCAGCCGATCACCCTCTCTGCAGAGCGGATGACGCGCTGCAGCCTGTCCTTGTCCTTGGCTGTGGCTGCAGCGTACCAGACGGTGATGGAGGAGCAGAGGATGGACTACATGATGGCCGTGTAGAAGTGGATCATCATCGTCTTTGGCAATATTAGCTATGACATCATCAGTAACTTAACTTAAGGAGCAGTTCAACACATTTTTCATAAAGACAGCAAACACATCTTATTGAGGCAAATATGGTCTTACACAGGTGCCTGCTGGTTCTATACCTGGCTATATCCTTAAATAACCTCCGGGTGCACACAGTGTTACCCAATTAATTAGTCCTCCAATTAACCAGCTAAGCAATGTACTTAATGATTAAACTAAAATGACTACAAATACAGAAAAAGCTATCTTAATATGTCATTGCATCAAACCTAAAGAATTAAACAATAATATTTGAGAATAAAGAATAACTGCAAATTAATCGCTCCCACACTGATGATCCATCGACCCAAACCTGTGTCCATTAGTCCTCTTCAGCTGTGTTTCTTCCTGCTGTGCACGTGTTGTTTGTTTGTGTCTCAGTCCGTTATCGAGATTTTCCCACTTCGCCCAACAGCAATATGTCAAAACTCTACTGAACCAATGTGATTTAAATTAGGCCACATGTTTGTAGTCACATGACATCTACTACGTGATCACGTGACCCTCCCTTTGCTTCCACGTGTTGGTTCACACCAGTTAGCCACTTTCCTCCTGAGCCGATGTTTTTTTTACTTGTTTTAAAAACCTGCTTTTACACAGAGAACAAGTCCAGAGACACAGAACAAGTATAATTTACAGTGTAAAAGTGGAACATACTCTACATGATGTTAAAGTTCTAAGTGCTTTATTTATGGCTCATGCTCAAAGTCAATAGTCAAAGTCAAAGTAGCTTTATTGTCAATTTCCTGCATGTCAGACATACAAGGAATCGATAAAAACGTTTCCCACTCTCCCAGTGTGATGTGCTTTTTACCCCGAGAGATTCATCTGAACTCTTTGTGAAAAGAGCCTGAAAATGTGTTTTGTAGCAGTTTTAAGGATTTTAGAAAATTCATTTTTAAGAGAAATGGGCATTTAAATCAGCAACTGTTGTCGAGAGATGCGGAGACTCCGCATGTGGAAAATAGAGCCATTAAAAAGAGGCAAGTCACCTTTACTCACGTGTGATTCATCCTGCAGGAAGTAACACCAGCACCACCTCAGAATGAGAACTCCACCTACAGCTTGGTGGGACATCCTGTCCCTTCCTCGACTCAGCCGGAGACCATCTACGCTACGGTGAAGAAGCCTGACAGGTCCTCCAACGATTAAAGAGGAATGTTTTCCCAAATCCTGGAATTCTGCTGGAAGTTTGCAGTGTGGCCGATTCTTTCTATGTATTGGTTGATGTGACCTGCTTTAATGCTGAAAGATTCTCCTCTACACAAACGTGTCATTGGAGTGAGCTTAAAATGATTAAATGTTACCCTAACCCAGGATGCTTCTGATATATATTTTTATTTCTTCTTCTTTAGACAAAATTAATGAAATCTTTTTCAACTGTGAGAAATATGTAAAACAACAGCAGATCATTTTTTTCCTTAACATATTTAGTCATCATTCAGTCTTTCAAGTGTCTTCTATTTAATAATAGCACATATTTATTCCTTGGTAAAAACTCACAGTACACCAGAGAGGGACACGTCACCTTTTAATCACCGAAACACCAGATAAGTATGAAGCTTTAACAAGTTACATTACATTACATTACATTACATGTCATTTAGCGGACGCTTTTATCCAAAGCGACGTACAATAAGTGCATTCAACCATAGGGTACAAACTCAGGAGAACAAGAAACAAGAAAGTGCAATTTCCTCAAATAAGCCAATTTACAATTTGCTATAGATGAGTGACGTTACAAGTACAATTTAAGTGCTACAATTTGTTAGTCTTTAGTCGAGGTAGAGTCTGAAGAGGTGTGTCTTTAGTTTGCGGCGGAAGATGTGAAGGCTCTCTGCGGTCCTGGTGTCTTCAGAGAGCTTGTTCCAACATTTCGGCGCAAGGACAGCGAAGAGTCGAGACCTAGTCGAGTGTTTTGCTCTCAGTGAGGGAGGGACGAGTAGTTTTGCAGATGCAGAGCGGAGAGTGCGGGTTGGGATGTCGGGTTTCACATGAACATGGCACTGATCAATAAAAGGTAATACATTTGCATTAATTGTTGTTTGCTTGTTTATATCTCCATAATTAATTTAAACCTGATTTCCTTACAAGAAACAACAGGGATCTCGGAAACTTTGCCTGCACTGTCCAGTAAAGTTACTGAATCGATTTCAAGTCACTGAATTGAATCGAATCGTTCTAAATTAACCCAGATCGTCCATGAATCGAATCGGCAACCATGAATCGTGATTCAAATCGAATCGTTGTTAAGATGAATCGTTACACCCCTAGTATTTATCATTGTAAATAAGAGCATATGCAGTATTATACGGTGTATTTTTTAACATTATTTGCTTTCATATAGTTGGTCTTGAATATACCTTATTCATATATATATACATGCATATATATATATATATGAATAAGGTACAATTTATAATATATTTGGATAACATCCACCAAAAACTTATTTACATGGTAATTTCTTTGCAATTATTTTATTTACCACGTGAAAACAGTGACATTGTGTATATTCAATGGATTATCAGCATTTGTTTTAAAGGTGAACTACGAAGTTTTCTTGTAAAGAAACAATGTGGACATTCATTTTTTTCTCGCTAAAATGCGTTTTTGTTGTTGCTTTTTGAATGTTTTTCCTGTAACAGAAAATATCGGCAAAGCTGAATTTAGAAATACTTTAAATCCTACATTGTTTGCGTCCATGTTTGCTGTTTTGCGGTCGTCTTCCTCTTTTCTTCTCCTGGTGTGTTGCTGCTACCAGCTGTAAGTCAGTGGAACATCAAGAGATCAGCGGCGCTGCTCAAGAATTTAAAAGGATTTTTCTAGTGTATTTCTATATATGTATGTATGTATGTGGCTGGAGTCTATCCCAGCCAACCTTCTTTGGAGTCTGGGAAGAAGCCGGAGTACCCGGAGAGAACCCACACAGACATGGGTAGAACATGCAGACTCCACACAGAAAGGCCACTGGGTGGAGTCAAACCCAGGACCTTCTTGCTGTGAGGCGACAGTGCTAACCACCACGCCACCGTGCCGCCCACATAGGGACATATATGGCTTTATTGAAACCATCTTTGGAATAATTGGTTCTTTGTTCAAGCGGAAGTAAAACGTTCTCAACTTTGTGGTTTCGTTGTCACACTTCCTCTCTGCAGAATGAAGCCGTGTGTCGTGCTTCTCTTTGCCGTTTTTCTGCTGACATTATGTGAAACACAAGGTGAGCACTTTATTGTATATACATTTTGTTGTGGATTGTTTTCAAGGTCAAAGCTTTTAAACCGTAGCACCATTTCTAATATTTTGAACTGTTTCTCTGTGTGGTTAATCAGGATTCATGTTGTTCCTTCTTGTACTGAGCTCTCAGAAAAAGGAAGTTGTTTCAGTTCACAGTATCAGAGCTTTGAAAAATAATGAACTATGCCAATGTTAGTAGAATAATATCATTGCTCTCAGCCAGTCAACAAGATTATTTAATATTTTCCATATTTAGGTGAAGATCTGGATCCACATAATGACGTAAAAAGACACATTCAACTTCCGTTGTCGAGGGAAAAACTTTCGTTAAGTCCTTTTTGTGTGACGTGTGTGATACAGAGGAAACATTCAGGTGCTTTTAGACACATTCTCACCACTCAGAGTTTGACTCCTTCAGTGTTCAGTCTGTGGAAGTCTTATTTTCTAAAGTCATCCATGTTCAGTGTAGCTGATGCTGGGGGACATTAGTGTGGTGAGACGGAGGGAAAGAGGACAAAGAGACAGAATGGAAATACTTTGTCACGTCAAGAAGAAGAACTTTGAGCAGCAACTTGCTCTCAGTGGGTTTAGTTTCTGCTGTTAAGCTTCTCTGTGTCCTCAGGAAGAGACGACGTGAGACATTTTAAGAGACTTCTGTCACTTCATGTTAAGCAGTGATGAGCTCAAGGTGAACCGCTGGTTCAATGTGTAATAAATAAAGTGTAGTGATGGAGTAACATTCCGCAGTGAATGATTCATCACATATTGTGTGTGATGTTTATTGTATCATGTGTCTACTGTTTTTACAGGAATCATTGTGACTCCTGTGTTTGTGCTGAAGGGACGTGATCTGCTCCTGAAGTTTGATGCTGATCTTCCTGAGAAGTTTTCATTTGTTGACTGGAAATTCAATAAAACAGTCACTTTAGTAAGATTTGAATCCAGTGGGGAACCAAATGTCCTTCATAATTCCACTGGAGGGTTTGAGTTTCCTGTGAAAATCTTCTCTGTGACATTGAAGAATCTACAAGAGGCCGACAGTGGAGTTTATACAGTTTCAGCAGTAACAAGTAAAGGAGACAAACTAGTAGCTGAATACAAGGTCACAGTTCAAGGTGAGTCTGTAAACATTTCACTGATTCTGTCGCCATGTTTCATGAACTCTTCACAGTAACCCCCCCCCCCCCCCCCTCAGGACCAGTGTCTCCAGTTGAACTGATCGTGGACCGAGTGGACTCCAGCAGCTCAGAGTCATGTGACCTCCATGTGACCTGCAGGACTCACAACTCAAACATCAGCAGCACTTTCAGATGTGACGACCGGGTCTGCAGTGAGGGGGGACAGCGATCAGAGGTCACGACCTCTGGGGCTTCTCTCCAGGTCTACCTGTTGAACAGCACCATCATCTGTAACCATAGCAACCAGGTTCACTGGACCCAGAACTTTAACACGACTGAACATCTTTGCCCCTCAAATGGTAAGACTGAAAGAGGAAACTACTACATGATAATAATACACCCTCTGCCCCCCATTAAAACACCTTTTAGCGTAAACCATTAATGACTGTAAAGGTCAGTAAAACTAAATGATCTGTTTTTAATTGAAGAAATTAAATGATTTCTCACTATAGATCACGTTAAAGATGTTTTCACAATCCAATCTGCAGTCTGTCAGAAGCACATCAGGCTGTGAACATGTGACACATTCTCAGCTGCTGCGTCATTTAAACCAGGAAGACTCTTCTGATCTGGTGCTTGTTTTGTTTTACAGATCCTCCCTTTCACTCCGGCTGGATGATTGCTATAATTCTCATTGTCGTCGTAATTGTGGTTCTATTCGTCTTGCTTCAAAGGAGAAGAATCTGTCCAAGTCCAAGTAAACATTCCATCAAATAATCACAACATCAGCAAAATCCTTTTTGTTTCCTCTTCATATAAACTCAATGTGTCCAAGTCCTCCATAACTATGTACCCACCTGTTTGGTTAAATAGCCCAATATCACAAATCAAAGCTTTGCCTCAGAATGCTGAACAATCTGTACAACACAGGACGTCTTTTACTGCATTTGCAAACACTTTTGAGTGAAAAATATACATGTGATATATTACCACAAGGTGCTTTTCATCACACTGGGATTGTCATGATTTGCTGTTTTGAAACAACCTCTAAGAGACGCAAACATCCCAACATATCAAATCCAACACATCGAAATGTGCTTCTATTTGAGGATGGAATCAATTTATCTGCACCTCAAGTAAAGTAAATGTACAACAGTTAATCTTTAAAGTGCTGTTTTTTTTCTTCAACAACAGCAGATTCAAGACAGATCGTCAAAAATACAGTTCAAACAGTTCAAGTTCCTCAGGTAAGCGTTACGTCTTTTTAACAAATCAAGAAATGTTTTTAGAATTGTGCCACGGTTGTTTCCAGGTTTTTCTAGGTGGGTTTCGTGCTGCTAGCTGCTACCTGCACACATCTGCTGCTTGTGTCCCGGTGTGTCTTCTTCTTCTTGGCGGGTTACAGCGATAGTAGCGTATACGAGCCACCTACTATTAAGGAGTGTGCAAAGGGATTTAAGGCCAAGGCTAGACCATTGTAAAAATAAAAAATAAAAAATAACTTAAATTATTTTCATTAGGCCTGATTCATTCAGAAACATAACTAAAGCTTTGATTCTGTTTCTTTGTATCCCTTGTTCCTCTAAAATAGCGTTTATAAGCCTATCATTTCCAGCTTCGACCTCCTGCCATTTCATTCTGAACTTATTATTTTTCTTACAGTTAAAAAGAACATGTTCAACATATTCTTTAACTTTACATTCAGTACATTATCCATCACCTTTTCCTATCATTTTTAGTGTGGAATTGAGACCTGTATGACCTAGTCTGGTATATACCACTTCCTCTCTTCTGTTAAGACCCAATGAGACTCTTTAATCTTTAATTTAAGGAATGAAGAATTCAGGTCATTTTGGGAATACGCTGCAAAAAAACCCTTCATCTGGAAGGGCTTTCTCTTGATTTAACAGTTCTGTATCTATATTTGGGGATGGAAGTGTCCATGGAGGAACACCATGCAGAGCTAGTGCTGGGCTATATTCTAGATTATGGTGTGTCTTTGTTTCCTGTTTTATTCTTGTAGTTTCATGCCTTTCGTTGTACCTAGATTAGCTTCACTTCCTGTCGTGTCTCCCCTGTGTGTCCCTGATTGTTTCCACCTGTGTCCAATCACCTGCACCTCCCCAGTGTATTTAATCCTGTGTCTCTTGTCTGTCCATTTAATGTGTTTCATAAGTCGGTGAGTCCTTGTCTGCGGTCTTTCCGGAGGCATTTTGATTTGAACTTAAATAAAAGTACCTTTTTGTTTGCAACGTCTGTGTTTGAGTCCTACTACCAGAACCCGTCATGACAGCTCGTATTCAGATACGCTGGGAGGAACCTGATTGTAGTGACAATTTGTCTTTGGGACCAAGTCTTTTCCTTTTGTTTTGCATTTATTCCAATAAGACCAACAAACACATTATAGAACTTGGCTGTTCTATGCTGCTCATGCTGTGCTGGCAAAGCTATGTGTCACCCAGGTTCTAGCGGCGATCTCACCTCCGTCCCTATTACCATTGTTACGGTATGTTTGGGCTGCGAGCTTAACGCGTAATCAATCTCCATAGACAGTAACTCTGTTTTAAAAGATTTATCTAAACTTAATTACAAGAAATAAAAAAAAAAACGGTCAAAAAACTATTGCTCCGCGGACTGATTAACCTTGACTGACGAATATTGGCTATGATGTCATCAGTAACTTAACGGAGCAGTTCAACAAATTTTAAAGCCAGCAAACACATCTTATTAAGCCAAATATGGTCTTACACAGGTGCCTGCTGGTTCTATACCTGGCTGGGCCCTTAAATAACCTCCGGGTGCCCACAGTATTACCCAATTAATTAGTCCTCCTAATAACCAAAACTATGTACTTAAAGATTAAACTAAATTGACTACAAATACAGAAAAAGCTATCTTAACATTTCATTGCATCAAACCTAGAAGAATTAAACGATATTTAAGAATAAATAACTAAATAATAAATGCAAATGAATCGCTCCCACGCTGAAGATCCATCGATCCAAACCTGGTCTCTTGTGGCCATTAGTCCTCTTCAGCTGTGTTTCTTCCTGCTGTGCACGTGTTGTTGTTGTTTTTTTCTCAGTCCATTATCAAGATTTTTCCACTTCGCCCAACAGCAATATGTAAAAACCTTAAAAACTCTTTGTACAGATATCAAATCCCACGCTGGTGTCTAAAATACAGAAACAACATGATTTAATTTAGGCCACAGGTTCGTAGTTACATGACATCTACTACGTGATCACGTGACCCTCCCTTTGCTTCCACGTGTTGGTTCACACCAGTTAGCCACTTTCTACCCCGAGAGATTTGCTTGAACTCTTTGTGGAAAGAGCCTGAAAATGTGTATCAAAGGTTTTAGAAAATTCATTTTTAAGGCAAAGAGGCAGAAGTATTTAAATCAGCGACTGTTAATCATCAGGAATGACTCCCCACGTGGATAATAGAACCATTAAAAAGAAGCGAGTAACCTTTTCTTCTACGTATGTGATTCATCCTGCAGGAAGTAACATCAGCATCACCTCAGAATGAGAACTCCATCTACGACAAGGTGGATTATCCTGATGGACCGGAGGGTCACTACGATACAGTCGAGAATCTTCACGGGTCCTCCAACGATTAAAGAGGAATGTTTTCCCAAATCCTGGAATCCTGCCTGAAGTTTTCAGTGTTATTGAAGCTTTCTGTGTATTAATTCATATGATTTGCTTGTTGTCCTGCAGGAAGCCTCATCTTTGGTTTTTGGTTTGATTCTTCATGTCACCTTTCATCTGATCATTTCGTCAAAAGCAACGATTTACACTTTAGACTTTTAAGGCCTCATCTGATTGGTGAGATTTAAGATGCATGATGCAGGATGCTTCTATTTTATTTGTATTTTTTTTTTGACAAAAAAGGAATGAAATGTTTTTCAACTTTGACTAATATGTGAAACAACAGAATATTTTCCCAATGTTTTTCCATAACATATTTAGTCATTCAGTGTATCAACTGTCTTTAATATAACTATAAATATTGCTCCGAAATGGAGGAACGAGCTCTCTGAAGACACCAGGACCGCAGAGAGCCTTCACATCTTCCCCTGCAAACTAAAGACACACCTCTTCAGACTCTACCTCCACTTAAGACTAACAAATTGTACTTATAACGCCACTTATCTATAGCAAATTGTAAATTAGCTTATTTGAGGAAATTGCACTTTCTTGCTCTTCTGAGTTTGTATCCCCTATGGTTGAATGCACTTATTGGATAAAAGCTAAATGACATGTAATGTAATGCAACTACACATATTGATTCCTTGGTAAAAACTCATAGTACACCAGAGAGGGACACGCAACCTTTTAATCACTGAAACACAAGATAAGTATGAAGCTTTAACAAGTTAATAAAACACGCTGAACAGAATTATGTACGAGTAAATACTGTACATGCAAGCAGACAAATATTCAACACAGAAATCCAAAGGGCCTTATATGTTTTAACCTTGTATAGAATATAATCAGCCATATTATGGAGTACATACAAAAGAGATGCTCTGTAGAGTTACTTAGGCTCAACGTATTATAAGAGGTATAAAGTCATCCATACGTCAACATGTGTGCAGGTGTTCTTTGTTTTTATTTTATTTTACCATGTTCATGTGATCTAAAACTGTGAAACTCAAAATATGTGTTTGTTGATGAATGTTTATGTTTAGTTATGAGTCAGAAGTGACAGCAGAGATCCAAGTGCAGGTGGACACTTGGTAGTTTATGGCCTCAGAGGCCTTGAAGGGTATTTTTCCCCTGTGTGCTTCTTTGGGGACTTTCTGGGGTTATAAAAGGGACAGTTTGACTGGAGGACGAGAGTTGTTGGTGATTCTTTGTTGGAGAGACCGGAGTTGGTGAAAGAGAAGTAACATCTGCCTTCTCTCCGTTTTTGTAGTTTCTCAACACTTTGATCCGCTTTTGTTCGTAATTTAAACTGTTATACTTTTTCTCTGTAACTCGTTACAAACAAATAGTAAATAAAACAGAGTTCGCTCTGAGCCTTTTGAAAAGTTTCTCAACCCTCCAGCGAGGAGCCGAGCAGCGGACACTTGCACTCACTCCACACCTCATAACCAGCGAGGAGGCCAGCGACGTCTTCAGGAGCTCCAGGCAGGAGACCAAATTATCTTTGGTATTTCTAAGCCCGATATTAATCAAATTTATTGGAAGAAACACCGTCCGTCCTAATAAACAAAATAAGGAAACTAACGTTAATAAATACATATATAGCGTGAGATCGGAAACTTGCGTTACACAAGATAACATCCACCAGAAACATATTTACATGGTCATCTCTTTGCAATCATTTTATTTACAAGATGAAAACAGTAAATGGATTATTAGCATTTCTTTTAAAGGTGATCTTTGACGTTTCTTGTGAATAAGTTTTTTCTTGCCAAAATGCATCTTTTGAATGTCTTTCCTTCACCAGGAAATATCTGCAAAGCTGAATTCATAAATACTTTAAATCCTAAAGTTTGGGTCCATGTTTGCTGCTTTGCGCTCGTCTTCCTCTTTCCTTCTCCTGGTGTGTTGCTGCCACCAGCTGTGAGTCAGTGAGTCAGTGGAACATCATCACGGGTTTAGAAGGTGACCTTTAAGTGGGACCTTTCCTCCAGGGCAGCATGACGTGTGTGAGATCCATTTCTTCATTGGTGCTTCTTGAAGTCCACGAGGTGAACAGTGATGACGGCAGACACCATGATGATCAGACCCACAGAGACCACAACAGTCCTCAACAGGAGAGCGGAAAGCACCGCACCTGAAAAACATCACAGGTGCATTCATCACACCCACAACACATCTGTGCTTTCTGCTTGAGTTTGTATTGAACCCGACGAGGAGCTTTAGAGATGCTCAGAACTCAGAATTCACTCAGAAAACACACAATAGATTCTTTAAAACAGAGAAAGGCTGAAACGCACAAACTGTTATCAGAAAGTAGTTTTCTCTTTCAGTCTTACCATTTGAGGAGCAAAGATGTTCAGTCGTGTTAAAGTCGTGGGTCCAGTGAACCTGGTTGCTATGGTTACAGATGATGGTGCTGTTCAACAGGTAGACCTGGAGAGAAGCCCCAGAGGTCGTGACCTCTGATCGCTCTCCTCCCTCCTGACTGCAGACCCGGTCGACACATCTGAAAGTGCTGCTGATGTGAGAGTTGTGAGTCCTGCAGGTCACATGGAGGTCACATGACTCTGAGCTGCTGGAGTCCACTCGGTCCACGATCAATTCAACTGGAGACACTGGTCCTGAGGGGGGGGGGTTACTGTGAAGAGTTCATGAAACATGGCGGAAGAAACTATCAGTGAAATGTTTACAGACTCACCTTGAACTGTGACCTTGTATTCAGCTACTAGTTTGTCTCCTGTAGTTGTTTCTGTTACTACTTCAGCAGCATAAACTCCACTGTCGGCCTCTTGTAGATTCTTCAATGTTACAGAGTTTTTCTCAGGAAACTCGAGCCTTCCAGTAAAATCTTTATGGACATTTTGTTTCCCACTACTTAGAAATTTTACTAAAGTGACTTTTCTATTGAATTTCCACTCAACAAATAAAACCCCCTCAGGAAGATCAGCATCAATCTTCAGGAGCAGATCACGTCCCTTCAGCACAAACACAGGAGTCACATTGATTCCTGTAAAAACAGTAGACACATGATACAATAAACATCACACACAATATATGATGAATCATTCACTGCTGAATGTTACTCCATCACTACACTTTATTTATTACACATTGAACCAGCGGTTCACCTTCAGCTCATCATGACCTCTCAATGGTTTATTTAAATGTCTCACTCAGGACTCTGACTAAGGAGGTGGAACAATTGTTTTTAAATTGTATTTCCAATTTCAAATGAAAACCTTTCTTTCACCTTGTTCCTTGTCCGTCATCCCTCTCTCTACTATTAAAGCTTGAGCAACTATTGAGCCATCAATGTATATAGAAGATCAGTAAAGCTTGTGTGATAGTTCACTGACTTTGATCATTTTCTGGTTCTTTATGTTCAATTATAAGAAGAAAATTTAAGTTTAAAAAAAGTGTTTTACTTTTATTGTGTTTGTATTGTAAAGATTTCCTATTAAAATAACATTTATTTTAGCATCCTAATAATATTTTAGTCCATTTTGTTATTTTTTTTAAATCTTAAGTTGTTCTACTGATGCGGCTTTGTCTTTAACTGTTTGTACTGTTTGTTTCTTTTTTTTTAAATAATTATTGAGTTTTTTTCATTTAAATCAACAGAAATTCTTTTTAGTTTTAGACTTCAAAAAATTTTAGTCTAAAACTTTTTAAGATTCATAATAACTTTCCCTCAATGTCAGAAATTGTTTCTTATTCTTATTCTCCTGAGTGACATGTATAAACATACATACATAAATTTCATGTATGTATTACTTACTACTAACATATAATATATAGAATAAAGAGCTGAATGCTTTGCTGGTTTCTCACCTTGAGCCTGAATGCAGACGAGCAGCCCGAGTATCACAAAGAGAGACATGACGGAGTCTCCGACCCCACGCTGCAACAACCTGCGTGCTGCCTCACGATAAACTAACCGCTCGCCTCGTGTTTAAAGAACCTCAGAGACGTTTGCACACAGCTGCTCGTCATCAGACTCCTCTTGAACTTCCTCTCTGCTGTCTGACTGCGTGAGATCTCTTTCTGTAAAGAGAGATTTAGTTCAGCCCTTTGTGAAGGAGGCTCAGTTACGCCTAAAAGTTCATCAGAGGAACAAAGTACAATTATTCACTTCAACTTGTCCTGTAAGCTTCTTTAAGGGACTGTTTAATAAGTATCAGCACTATATTCTTTATCCCTTTAAGTCCCTTTAATCCCTTACGATGAGCTACTGTTGCATGTTGCTCCATAATGATCCTGAAGGTGGTAAATAAAACCTGGAGGCTCCACATGGCTCCACATGCCGTATCGGTGCAGCGTGAAATCTACAAACTGTGGACGCAGCAAGTGGATGTGAGCCAGAGGACGAGCACCAAAGTACAACTCACCTGCTCCACTTTAAAGGCCTTATTCATGTTCATGTGAGGATTTTCATCTTTGGTCCCTGGAACAAAACCATTATTTGGGAGGATAAAAGGGACAAAACATTATTATGTCAACAATTTGTGTAAATACACTATATAAAATGTCATGTGTACTGTGAGTATAAGTTGAGGTTTTGCTTCAGTTTAACACCTAACTTATCTTGTAGGTCACAGCACCCGCAAAGACGACCACTTCCTCTATAGAACCATTTTTAAAATGTTCCCACTGAGAATAGAGAATGTGTCAAAGAAAGAGGAACCTGCAAAAGCGTCTTTTCTCAGAAATGATTCTGATGAGCAGGGTGTGTCTAAGGGCAGAACTATGTTTGAACATAAACACATTATTTATCTAGAATATAAAAATACAAAACAAGTAACTGACAAGATGTAAATGCTTCTTAAGCCACTTCTTCATAACTACATAGATGCAGTAATGCATCTGATCACAAACTAACACTTTCACACAGGAAACACCGGCAGATGTTGTGCTTCACACAACACAAGACAGCACAGCAATGCCAACGTTTTGCATTACATACAGAATTTTACTTTTACACAATTTGGATTCAAAAACATTTCATGGAATAATTTCTTCTAGTTTTCTTTTCTGAATCGTGTTCGGTCTACAGTCCTGCACGAGAGGACCACTGCCTCAAGATTAGTCTTAATTATGTGCAATGCATTGTAGCAAGAAGCAACATTTAAAAAAGTTAAATAAATAATAATGTTTGCAAAGCGGAGTTCAGCTGGTTGCCACACTTGAGGTTTGTTGCAACCTGTTCAGCAAGTAGTGAGGAGGAAGTAGTGAGGAGGAAGTAGTGAGCAGGAAGTAGTGAGGGGGAAGTGTCTCTTACACAGAGAGTATGAAAAGTCAAACTATATTCATAAAACATTTAATGTCCTTGTCTGTTGTTCTGTAGTCGGGTCGAAGGGATTGATCTCGATTTCTTCCACAAATATTAAACATTTTGTTTTATGATTATATTTGCAATTGGAGGAAACTGGACGGCGGAATCCATGTAACTGGATAATATGAAAAGTAGATTACTTGACGTGATGCACACGTTGATCAAGCTTTAAAGGTTCATTTAGCAAAGGAATCACATGTTCCATCCATCCATCCATTGTCAAACCGCTTATCCTGCACACAGGGTCGCGGGGGGGCTGGAGTCCATCCCAGCCAACTTCGGGCGATAGACAGGGTACACCCTGGATTGGTCGCCAGCCAATCGCAGGGCCACACAGAGACACACAAGCATTCACACTCACACTCACACATCTACGGGCAATTTAAATTTAAAGTCCCCAATTAACCTGATCCCCAGAGCATGTCTTTGGACTGTGGAAGGAAGCCGGAGAACCCGGAGAGAACCCACGCAGACACGGGGAGAACATGCAGACTCCACACAGAAAGGCCACTGGGCGGAATCGAACCCAGGACCTTGTTGCTGTGAGGCGACAGTGCTAACCACCACGCCGCCCTGGAATCACATGTTGATTTTTCAATGTGCGCTGGAATGAAGAAGAAATCATTTTAACAACAGTTCCCTCTGCTGGTTAAAGAAGTCAATTACTACTCAATTTATTCAACCCACATAAAACACACAAACATCGTTCAGTCTTTAATCTGTGTGGTTTTTATTCTCACATTTTGTTTTTATGAATTTAACAAAATTTCATGTTGAACTGATGGTTTTTATGTGTGTTTACACAGAATACGGAAAACTGTAAATATGAGACACTTATTCAAAACCGACGTTCCTGTGGGATGTAAACAATTCGTACGGTTCTCCTTGTTTCTTCTTTTAATTTCACCTTTAATGAGGCAAAACATTTATTTTCCTCCCATTTATTCTTTCTCGTATCCTGTTTAACAACTCAGTTTTGAAACCGTAGCTTGGAAAAAGAGAACACCATCACAATGTATTTGTTTATTTAGCATGATCTACAATATGAACATAAGGTGCAATATGTGCACAACATCAACACAGGCGGCCTTAAACAACCAGCTGAAATATTGATGAGTAAAGATGCATGAGAATAAGCGAGATATGAACTGCTCTGTGGTGAAGGACAAACCAACTCACTTTAAGATGCCATAATGTATTTCACAAAAGCTTCGTAATTGATGCATCCATTAGCATCCTCCTGGTTTTGCATCAGCTGCTCCACCTCGTCCTCTCTCAACTTCTCACCTGTAGCCCGAGAGGAAGCAACGGGAGCACCGTCAGGTCGGTACGGACCTCACGAGGGCCGAATTACAGAATCGGAATCGGGGGGGTTGAACTGTTAAACTCACCGAGTGTTGCCAAAACGTGCCGGAGCTCCGCCCCCATGACCGTGCCGTTCCCCTCCTTGTCAAATACCCTCAGACCCTCCACAAAGTCCTCATATGTTCCCTGGTTTTTGGCCTTGCAGATGTGTTGATGCAAAGGCAGAAACTGGTCAAAGTCAAGCATTTTGGTTTGCATTTCTGCAGGGGGGGTTAAATAAAGTGACATTTCACCAAAGAGAAGACAAGCGGCACCAATGCTGAGCTTCATTAGAACCTTTCTCTGTCTGATAACAGATCACAGCCCACCTTCTGGGGTCGGCTTTCCGAGGACGTACATCATCTCCGTGTTGGTAGGATTCTGGCCCAAAGCTCTGATCAGATCACCGCACTGCGCGTAAGTGATTTTCATTTCATTGGCTGGTGTCCTGTCGAACAGCTGGAAAGAATCTTTAAAGTCTGTGAAAATAGTGAAAGAATAATAATAAATAAGAGTTATTCTGTTCATTTGTGATCCAAGGAGAGCGCATGCAGAAGAGAGGCCTTGGCGCATGAAAGCATCCCTCCTCTGCTAAAGAGGAATCCAGCGGTGGTGAATTCCTCAGCTGTCACCCTTGAGTGGCATGTGCCCGTCATCACTTTGAAATAATCCCACCCGTCAGCTGCTGCAGAGCATTTCTCACACGCTGATGGGCGGCTCGATGCCACAAACCGCAACCCTTTTATAAATAGCCGGCGGCCCGTCCTTACCCTCAATCTGCTCCGGGGTGAATTCCAGCTGAGAAGAGATGAAGCACATGAGGAGGTTAGAACAAGGCGGGTGGAGGAAGAGAAACGCCTCCACCTTTTTCATGCCGACGCAACAGGTCGAGTTACGGTTGTGGGTCTTGTGCATCGCTCACCAGGGTTTCCCCCCCCCCACAGGCTGCTGCACCCCACAGGCCTCCTCTGAGTTTATTTTTAGTCCTGATGTGCTTCAAAGATCGTTTGATGTTTGGGACACAAGCGAGAGCCAAGAAATCCAAACCTGAGGATTACGTCTCGGGCAGTTTTAACGCTGAATGTGCTGCTGATTGATCAACACACTGTGTTCAGCAGCAGGAAGGTGGTTGAAAACTTTATATTAAACTTTATTTTCACGCCTTAACGCTGATTGTGAACATCAAACGGGTGTAGCGTCACAATGTAATGTATCGTACAATGTATTTAGTTACATAGTGTATAATTATACAGTAACGTAGTCACGCCTGAGACGAATGTTGACTATTTATACTTTCTGGCTTTCCGCTGTATAGTTCCTGTCTGGATATTTAAAGACATCGATGAAGCTTTTAAAAAATGTTATCCAAGCATTTATCTAGTTTAAAGCCAGACGGTGATGAATGTCATTTTCTGTATTTTTCTTCCTCGCGGTTTTTCCGGGTGGTCCCCTCTTCACAGACATAATGAAAATCATATTTTGTGGCTTTAACCGCGCCTCCTTTTGGGGAAACATGGCGGCAGGAAAAACATGTGTCCATTGAGAAGAGGCCAAGTCAGCAGATCTCTCCAAGATGTCTGGTGTTTGCCACTGATCCTCCCCCATGACACAAAGTCACGGCTTCTTTAACTGTGCAACACCATTTATTAAGCATCATTGAAGTTTAGAAAAAGACAGGAAGTAGTTATAAAGATTAAATTGCCAGCAGTACTCCAGCCCATCCAAATGACTGTACAGTCCTGGTTCGCTTGCACTGCCAAGATTAAGTCACACGGGGTCTCTGGTGCTCTTTTATAGTCCAGTGGAAATATTCTGTGGCCGTGTCTTAAATAGAAAATGTTAACAATTCAAATGATGATAAATGTGTTTTAAATGTGTTGTGTTGCTCATACCACCAACATGTGAAAATAGTCCAGAGATTCCCTCCATTGCTTGATGTTGCTGCTTGTCTTTTCGCTTTACCGTGATTGTTGCAGGGTCAAACGCCGGCGTCTTCGGCGGCTCGGGCTCTGGGGGTTTGGGAGGTGCTGCTGCTGCTGCTGCTGCTGCAGGTTTGGGCTCTTCCTTCTTCTTTGGTGCCATCGCAGAGCAGCTCTCTCAGGAGACAAGGCAGAGGACCGGCGTGGCAGAGGGATCGGGCACACTGCGGCGCCACGTCCCCTTTATCCCGTGTCCACCCCCCCCCCCACCCTTACGGCACAATACCCCACCACGCTGCCAACAACTATAAAAGGATGTGCCTTTGTGCTTCTATTTAAGACAAAGCGTGTTGTTGTAGGTGTCCGTCATCAGCGTACAGCTGATGGAAAACGGTGGCAGCACCTTGCGTTAATCAGGCTATTTCCATCAATAAGGGCGCGACCCTCGTGTGACCTCGCTTATCTTGGGCCGTTGAACATGTTCAGTGAAGTGCTGGTTGTTAGCTTGAAGGGGGTGATGGCAATCGTTATACTGGACGAGATGGGAGTGAAGCCACGACGCATGACTGATGGGAAGTGGAGGCGTACGTTTCAATTATCCCTGATTGTTGCACAAAAACAGCAGTATTCACTGTGCACGTTACGGGCCAGGACGCGTCTTAGCGACGAGCCGCCGTTTGCTCCGGACGGAGGGGTTTGCACAGCTTTAAGCTCAAATCTGCCGGCCCAAAATAGCTTCCACAGAACGTTGGTCTTGGACTTTTTCGAGTGTCGTGTGAACAAGCTCTTCTCTTGAAGCCGAGTACCAACAACATGAGATCCATAAAGTCATCTGGGGTGGAACTAAGTGCCACTTAACAAAGCTGCCGTTCACACCCGGGCGGAGACAAGATTTGCGGATAAAATGTCAGCCAGGGTGGATTTAAAGTTTGCATCTTGAATATAAATATTTAAATGTTCATTCCATTCTCTTGACAATTGTTACAGAACTACTTTATAAGCACTCTGACGCATCTCACGTGCCTCCAACACAAGATTTCTCACATGACAATCGAGGCAACATTCAGTATTTACGTCTAAAACCTATGGGGCAGCTTCTGTGCAGATTCTTTTGAAGTCTTTTAAATAGCTTTTTGTTTGTGTGTTGTGTGTTTGTCATTAAAAGCCAATGCAGGAAAGCACGTGAGGATTCATCAGCTTATTTTAATTTCATCACAGCTGCACTGGAGTCATAAATACCCTTAAACGACCATAAACATTCATAATTACCATATTAGGGTTGATTCATTTAGTAAGATTTACTCATTAAAACATTGTTTACAATCGTTAAAGTAATTTCCTTCATTCCTTTATCCGTTATCCATAACTAAAAGAGGAAAAAAAACAATTTTTTCAACAAACTTTTTTGCACAAATGTGAATTTTTATTTAATTCAAAACTCAATTTCCTCTCCTCTACTGGAGGATCTGTGATCACACAGACTTTTATTCCATTCATTCATTTCATTGTCTGCAATACAAAGATGCGTTTATGAGTTTTGACTTCTCCTGTTCGCAAAGAAAAAAAGCGCGTATGAATTTTGGAAGCGCTGCGATATAAGATATAAGAACCACACTGCAGGATGATAATACAGCCGCCAGCGGATTCAAACCCAACTTCAATACAACACAAAATATTCATAAACTAAATGGATCAGATTAAATAAAAATCATTTAGCATGATGTTGATATTTTATGAGCTTTGGAAATTGACCCAACTACTAACTCTATCTAACCTTTTGTGTTACATCCGTAGCAATAAATGACCTCTGGTTCTGCAAGGTCGCACACAACAGCACGACCTCCCAGCTCCTGCTGTGCACTGGGATTTATACCAAAAGAGAGACTTGTTGATGTATTGCAAGTGGATATTGCTCACTGGTCTATGAGAAGAGACAAAACCATAACGTAAAGCCCTCTGACTGTAATGAATAAAGAGAATAATAAAGCCTGCTCCTCCGTTGAGCCATCGGAGCGTGAAATAATTCCCCGATCGGGGCCGCGGCAAAAAATAAGTCACGGACGCAGTTTTGTCCCTCATTATTTTTCAAACAGCACACGACCGAAGCGGTCAGCGTCTGAGTGGAGCCGCCACTGAGACGGGAACCGTGTTTGTCAGGCCCGATTTATTAAAGGATCCAGCTGTACACATCTCAGCCCCCCCACTTCAGACCCCACCAGGTGACTGCCATTGACAGGCTGCGGCAGCAATTCGCAACATGAGCGAGCTCTTAAAACATCCAAGACATGTCCAGTTTGCTATTTTGGAGAGAGTCTGTTAACGGGGGGGGGGGGAGGGCGGTACGTAGTCTCCGTCCTGTGCCAATTGTTCCTCGGACCCCATAAGGTGACCTTCGGTGCAGCTGGAGCCTTTGTGGTGCGATGAATTACCAGCCTGGATGGAAGCAGGTATATAATTACCCCGGATAAGTGGTGGTGCGATTCAGAATAAAAGAGTGGCAAATATTTTCCCATATGACATTTTCTACACCCGGCATTTATCCCCCGAGAGAGGAAATGGTATTTGTTTATAGCAGTGATGAAATGCACATTATGTTACTACTACTGTTAACAGGGCGGCATTCGCCCATTCATGCCACACAGGGGACCATCGGGACCAGGGGACATTCACTCTGGCATCCATGTCGGGCCCGAGGAGTCTTTTATTTATTAATACACGTGTTCATTCGCCGGGCACACGCGACATCAACGGAACAATAACGAGGCTGCACAATGAAATGAAAGAGTTCTGCTCATTTACACGTGGCCTCAGTCTGCTCATCGCCTCCTCCATTTCAAAAGGGTCCACAACCGCTGCCTCGTTGAACTCATTAATCGTTTGTCCAAGGTGTCTCTCCCAGTGGGACTCTGAGGCAATTGATACTGTGGAGGAGGTGTGAAATTCAGGTGGGGCAGATACAGAAAGGAGCAGAATCTATCCAAGAATCTTCATTTAAAAAAGGCCTCCAGGTTCTAACTGTTCGTAAAAATTTATACGAAAATCTTGAACATACAAATTCGTAACAATACATACGAACTGGCGGTAGTTAACCACGCCCCTTGAGTGAACAACATGGCGGACCGTGTCGGATTCTTGAGTGAACGTCTCTCCGCCATGTTGGCTGTTTTGAGGGGGTTAGGGTTAGTATTCTATTCTTACAAGTTAACATTGATTTCTCGTAAAAAATGCAATCATAACACGTTTATTTTACATCGTTAGACTTCACGAAGTGTGTTTACGGGGCGCAGGTCCCCGTTCACTTTGAATAAGGTGACGTCATCAGTTGCAGTCCCTATTTATTTCGTATGTATCACTACGAATTTGTATGTTCAAGATTTTCGTGTACATTTTTACCAACAGGTTTTGGAGATCAGGCTGGTAAAATCAGATGATCGTGCTTCTTTTACTGGACTTTACATACTGAAATACATATTTCGCACCATACTAATTATTTCACATTAATAATAATAGACACACACACACACTGCAGTTTAGGTACAACAATTCTCCTAGTTTTGTTCATTCTCATTTAAGAATTGCCATGTAAGTACGTTCATTGCCGTAGATGCCATCATGTTTAAAATGAGCATTCATCAGTTCACAAGCTGCTTTCAGATATTTAATACTATGATATCTTCTATAATGCTTCTTGTGCACGTTGAGTCACTTTTAGGTCACGGATCTAAACTCAGCCTTTTGTGTGTACCTCATTTGCTCGGCATCCAAATATAGGCTTTGCTTTCTTTCACTAAAGAAACATCATCATCACGGACTAAAAGCCATCAGTCAATCAGTCGTGTAGTTTTCCATCTCGTGGCCCCTTTGCGTTTGTTTAACGGCGTATCGCCGCGTTGGGCCGCGTATAGTTTGCGTTGACGGACAGAAACTCCCGCCGTGGCCGCGCATTGCTTCTCTGCGCCGCTGCTCCTCATTTACCAGCACTCAGGATATAGTGTGTCCAACCCAAAGCTAAAGCTAATAAGGCGGTTAATACACCAGCTGTGTTCCTGGCAGATGTGACGTGTTCATTATCAACCCCACAAGGCAGTCAGTGAAGTGGGCTTGCATTTAATTAAACTGTCCCCCCGTCCAGTTAGGAGCCGATGAGGTGCAGTTAGGTGTGCAGTGCCAGCTTGTGCAGGCTTCCCTCCAGCAGCCTGTTGCCATGTCGTTTGGCAGAATTTCTTATTGAGTAAAGATAAACACCGTTTTTTCGTGCCTTGCAGCTAGATTTCCGTTAAAGCGTGTTTTGCATTAAACATTTTAGCCTTAATAAGAAAACATTTATGATGTTCCTGTTTGCACACGTTGTATGTGTGTGTGTGTGTGTGTGTGTGTGTGTTTTGCAGGGAGACAACTAAATATTTGATGAAGTTGGAACTATTTGTGCTCCATTCTTTTACAATCAAACAAACATGTCTAACATCAGCAGAACGTTCATGCGTGAAAGGTAAATCTCAGAGAGGTCATTGGGAAGAAGTGTGGTTTATTCCGGCGTCGGAGTTCAGTGCACAGACGTACGTTACAAGTTGTCAACATCCACGCAGGGAAACGCCAACAAGCAGCAGCTGAACCACGGCGGCCTCTTGTGGTCACGGTGTGACTCGCTCTCTTCATCAAAAGAAAACCTTTTAAAAACTCAATATTGATCGATTATTCCTTTTGTTTCATCTCATCTTATCTTGTCATCCGGAATGTATTATCTCAATTATACCGAATCAGCACACACCAAAACGGGGGCTCTTTGCACATTCGGAGGGCGGGCAGCATCACTAAACCCTCCTGCCAAAGATAACCTTGTGTGGAATTCTAGTCCCATCATTTAGGTGGCATTTAAATCCCACTCTCACAGTCCTCTGTGTCATCACCTGCTGGTGTCTAGCCGGTCCCCTGCTGATCGCGAGGCGGGTGGATGAAAAAGATGTTGCCGTGTTGTTAATCCTCGTGAGAGTTTGACTCGGCGGAGCGGTGGGCAGCCTCTCGTCCAAATGCCCTTGCTGCTAGGCGACTCCGCCAGCGGACTGTGAAAAGTGTTCCTTCACATGAGATTGCCTTTTCTGTCATGATGTTTGCACAGTGCAGCGTCAGTGTTACAAAAGACACACAAATGAGCCTTTTTTTTTTATCTCGGCTGCAGCTGCAACCCCACTGCTGCTGTTATTAATCGATTAAATTAAGTATTTTATTCTCTCTGCAGGACTTTAGTCTGGCCACGTGTGCCCCTTTTCATTGTTTGACAGTTAACGGATGAAAAACATAATGTGTCCAAAATGTACATGTGCATTGAATTTATATGTAGGTTTTTACATGACATTTGGGAAACATACCACATAGGTGTTTCGGTGAACACCCCGTTGCTGCATTATTACAAAGGATGAAAGCTGCATTGTATTGCTCCATCCCTTTCAAGTGAATATGCCCATGTGACCACCGGCTTGTTTGTCTGATGTTGGAAGGCTTCAAAACGAAAAACACACGGAATCGAACCCGTTGGCGGAAACACTCGGTGAAAAAGCCACTCGATGGTTCGGGAAGAAATCGACTGCGAGAAAATAGGAAGCGGTGCGGCGGTGAGATTAGGTGGTAAAGAAACCCAATTTCCTCCGTCATACCTGTGTGACTGCCAATTTCTCCCTTTCCCGAGAGCACATTGACATCTGACTCCCAGCTTACAACTGATATTAAAGCAGGAAAAGAAGCCGCCACGTATCACTTTACTATTGAGTGGGACTCGGGCCACAATGGCAGCGTTCCAGCTATTTCTAGGAAAATTACACAATGACTTAATTAGCCTCGGCCGCCACAAATGGCCCATTGAATGAACACCTCTATTAAGCTTTCATCTGTTTCGCCGCCTTCCCCGGGTGACATTTGCCAAGCAGTTTGGGTATTATTAATGTGAGAGGGGTGGCAAGACGATAATGGCAAATAAGACGGAGGGTTGCTGCAGCAGGAGGATCACAAGGGGGAACGTTTTAATTTCCATAACTTGAGAAAAGTACCGTAACCGTTGATAGCATCTTGCAGATGAAAGCTGCTGCTTGAAGGCATGTTTACTCTTTGGGAGAGAACGTTTCAGAACAAAAGCTTGAACTTTATGTCAAGAAGAGATGGACACTAACCTTCAGATGCAAAGGAGATCATGCATTTGTTAATTGAGTATTTTGAGTTTCCCAGCGGGACGCAATCTCTCTGCACCACTGAGGAGGAAACATACGGTCACAGGGTTAAGAAGGTTGGTGATGATATTGTTACCAGCATTACTTCGCAAAGATGAATGCACAGAGTTTGGAAAGAGGAAGGAGGAAAGAGAAGTGGAAAACGTATTTATATTCTGAGCACGGAACAAACAAATGTTCATGCACAAGATGGTAATTTTTTTGATTTACTGAGCAAAAGCAACACAGGATCAGATTGAAATCAAGAACACATGAAGGAGCCCTGATTTATCCCCCTCGGTTTGTCCTCCCGAGCACAGATGTATTTAGTAACAGAAAGCTTGAAGAACATTTTAACTGCAGGGTCAAAGACCTCGATGGACTCTGTTACTTTAATGTTCTTTCCAGGCGGCGGTAAAAACATCGATAGACGAATCACACGACAATCACAACTACACAAGCATTCGCTCTATGTTAACAGACCGCTTATGAATATTAAAAAGGATACTTTGCTATTAATATTTAAGTGTCCGTGGTTGGATATAAGGCTGCTGCAGTGAGTGCGGGCAAATAAAAAATGTATTTGGTGTCTCATATTATATTATATTCTCATATTGTGACAGTTTTAACAGCGCGAGATGCCACGTGAGGATGAATGACACTTTTACGCACGTTTTGATTGGATTGGATTTCATGTGGATGACGCAGCTGCTGAAACACAATATTCTATTTTCACGATGCGTATTTCCAAAACAAAACAGCACTCGGCGTCACTGCGTGTTAACACTAAAAGCTCTCAAAGCGCAGATCTTTTCAATGATGCTGCGGCCCTGAAAGCTTCGATGGATGGAATGTTTGGCCTTTGTCCACAGTTAATGGCTACTTCCCTACGAACACACACATGCATGAAACTCTGTTGTCTCCTCAGCGTAACAGAGGCAGATTAAACGACGGTTTCACGCGACGCTATTCTCACGTTTCATTGTCAATCTGTCAAGAATTCCTAAAGAGCTCGCCTGAGGGTTTTATTTGATTAATGGCAGTTTTATGTTTACTGTGTATCTCTTACATTTAATGCCGTCCTTAGAAACACAGCACCCACGCGTCCCCAGGCATTTTTCTGTTGATGGAATAGAGCATAAACATCTTTTAATAAATACTGTAACACACACACACACACAGTGTGAGTGCGTTAGTGGCGATGAGAAATAAATGCTGGTTCACACTGTAAAGGGACCAATGACACATCTGCTACTTTAGTTCAGACAATGAATCTGAGCATCGAAAGGAGACAAACTGGACAAAAAGAAGAAAAAAAAGACACATTCATGATGCGTCGATAATCTGTATAACGATCCTGACGATTACATAAGCAATAAACAAACAGAACTCATTCAAAAGTGAATTTACTTTCCAGTTTAAACGCTGCGACAGCAAGACATCCAGATGTGTCCGCCCAGATGTGTTCAGGGTTGTGTGCTGCTTGCGCTGACTTAGATACACATATCCGACTTTTACGAGCTCGGAGAAAAACGAAACATTACCTCACTGGCTTGTTTTTAACAACTGCATATAACGTAGTTCGGTTTAATGGTTCTCAACCGTTGGGATTTGGCCCTCCGAAGGGGCACAGAGTACCGTATTTTCCGCACGATTAGGCGCACCTAAACGCCTTCAATCGTTTCAAAAGCTGATCATGCGCCTAATAATACAATGCGCCTTGTATATGGCCCAGTATTAAAACGCATACAGGTCTCAGTTACGGTAAGCAGCCGCGACTCGATTTTCTCCCGTAATAGTGCGCAGTGCATGCTGGGATACCGGGAAACTGGCGTTTCATTATCCTGGTGGTCATCAGGAAAACAGAGAAAAAACAAACAGAAGGAAGCAAATAACCAAAACCTCTCTGCAGGTGACTTCACTCCACACCCGTCCCCCTGCTTTTATACAGCCTTCCAGTCAATTAGGCTAATTGGGAGAAACCAACTGGCTGGGGGGGGGGGGGGTCTAATTGAACAGTCTGTATCCCACATAGTTATGATCATTATTCACATACGTTCGTATCATAACGTCAACACTGTTGTCATGTGGATGTGAACAATTAGATGATCATGTGCAGACATTAATGGACACATTTAGGCTGTTACACGTATATTCTGCGCCCTGTCCCAAACAAGCAATGAACCAGCCCACTTGTCAGTCAGTTTGGGGGAAAGGCTCTTCCTTTCCACACTGTGTGTGTGCGTTTTGTGGACTTTGTATACTCTTGGCTGTTGTTGTTTCTTTAGTTTGATCTCATATTATATTTAAACCTTGCATATTTGAAAATAGCAATAAATAAATGTTAACAATATTCACTAAATCCAGTGAGAAGCTGCCTCTTTTTCTCCGACTTCTCTGCAATGTGACCTTTCTGAAAGCAAGGGTCGCCCAAACCGGCTGTTAGAAAAAAACAAAGCACTTCTTCCATCGGCTTCACTTTGCAGACTTGGAGGTCACTGCCTGAACCCTAAAACAGAGTCTTTGCAAGTGAGGACGGGCCAAAATGTCCTCGCGTACCAACGCGTCCTCTGAAACTGCTGTTGGTCCTCAGACAGCTGTGCACACACACACACACACACACACACACAAACGCTTGCACATATTGGTGGGATGCGCACACAGGTGCGTGTGAACAGGAAGTGAGGCCTCTCCGGGCGACTATTGACCACAGACACATGTCTGTGCCTGATAACGCACCCCTGTGTCTGCCATTGACCGACAAAGCGAGGACACCGTTATTGGATGACTGCACAACAACAAGTCATTGTCACCCATTTGGCACCGAGGGGCGGGCGACCTCGGGAAAGAGGTCACTCTCAAGTGTCCACAAAGACACCAATGTTGCTTAAAATAAATGATATAATACGTGTTTGATTGTTTCGTCCACACACACGTATGTCAAAAATAACCCAACGTTTCATTTAATAACACGAGACGTGCGTTGATTACTGGTGGAGCCTGAACGCGAAGCCCCATAAAGGAGCAGTTGTTGCCGGAGATAAAAACGGACGTCTCCCGCACGACGCCTCGGTCACTCAATCCGACTGGATGCTACTTTTGAGAGACTGCAGGAGGGGAAAAAAAGGTGGTTTGGAAACGGCCCCCGCGAGCCGCTGAATGTGGAGTTTGTTTGAGGGGTGAGAAAATATGTCATTTCGGAGCCGTGGTTTATTCCAACGTAAGAGAGCGCGCACCAATCAGACGCCGTTTACGCTCCACCCTACCTGCCCCCCCCTCCTCCGTCCTTTTCCATCCACATACTCACTACCGAGCGCGACCTGCCGCTCGCCACATCTGGAGACTCTTCCAGACGCGAGAAACTTCCAACTTTTGTCGTTTATTCCCGCGCTGAAAATAAAAAAAAACCGACGCGGCGCGTCGATCCGCGCGGGTCCGCGTGGCTCTCTCTCGCGATAGTAAGTAGACGTTCTTTCAGCCAAGTTGACGTTTCTCTCCTTCTGCGAGCGTTAGTTTTTCTCTTCTTTTAAGATTTTTTTTGGGGTTGTTTTTGTTTTTGTTTTGCATCTCCGCCGGTAAACAGCGCGGGAGTCCCGCGCGTCCAGCTGCCGCGTAACTGGCACGCCGGGTCGTGTCCGTGTTGGATGCGCTTTTTGGTGGAAACGGCGTGACACATTTCCATGTCGTGTTTTCGGCGGCGAGGCGCTGGATGAGTTGATTTGCGCAAAATCAAGCCGGCAAATCGTTGAGAAGTTGGTCGTTTCGCTCCTTTTATCTGATTATTATTTAAATATCATCACATACTAGAATTAAAAACTACTGCGGGACCGCACATCAGTGCGTTGATGCTGTCGGGCCAATTCAAAGTGTGCCGTTCAACAGCGCCATGGTGACGGAGTGATGCGCATCGCGCTTCATTGTGTCCAACGCGCTCATCTGACAGTTTGGAGGAGAGGACCGGATTAAACCATAAGGCGCAGGGCTTCATACTGAAGTGTTTAAGTTAGTCTGAGGGGAATTTTTTTTTTTTTTAAAAGACCTAAAAATACAGCGTTGGTTTCTTCCCCTACAAAGACTCATGTGAAGTTCCCACCGCAGCGCGAGAGCGACATAAATAGTTCTGACATGTGGATGTAATTTCAGAAGAGGAAAGAGAAGAGAGAGAGAGAAAAAAGGAGACAGATGCAGAGAAATAAAGAGAGCGCCTGAGCCGGAGCGTATAGTAAGATTACAGGAAATCAAATCGAGGGCAAAGCGAGGCGATTACACGAGTTATGATTTCACGCGCGGCCATAAACACACAGCAGCCGGATGGAGTGAAAAAGAGCAACTCGCTCCACTTCCAAGAGAGTTAAGAAGATTGAAGCGTTTCAGCCGCGCGTCTGTCCGAGCGAGAGGCCCCTCGAGGCCCCTGGTGCCTCGGGTCGGTCATGGGATCCGCCCTGCTCCTCCACAACCTGGACTTTCTCCTCATCTCACTGCTCAGTGGTTTATTTCTGGTGAGTTTCATTCATTCATTCATTCATTCACGTAATGACCGAGGTGCTGTTTTCAATGTTCACATCACTCACAGCACGTCTGTTGTTCCGAGGAGATGTTGGCGTTGATTCGTAATTAAACAAAAGGTCTTGTATCGACACTGGTATTGACATATTGGACCGGGCTCAGGCTGCTGATTGGCGATTACACTCGAATGCATCTTCTCACACGGTTCCAACAGCACGTTGGTTTTGTGCAGCAGGAGTCTCCCAAATCACTTGTTTACAGTCAGAAGACTCACTGATTCACAGCTGTAAGGATTTACTTCTGCTCGACATTGTGATGTATAATTGTGCTGTCAAATATGGCCACAGCAGTATCCAGAGGCACTGCTGCCCCTGCACCCCCCCACCCCCCCTCACACACACACACACCCTCACACACACACACACACACAGTGTGCAGGCGGAGCAGCACCAGGTCGGTTCTGTGTGTTTTGGCTCAGGCCGTTGTGCATTCAACAGGCAGTTGGCCCGGGTCTCGGAGGCACAGAGCCTTTTCCCAGTGATGTGGTCCGTCAGTGTGGCGCACTGGACCTCTAGGCTCGTTGGTTCGAAAGGCAGAGGAAAACAATTATAACATTGCCGTGTATTTATAGCTGGTTCAACATTCAGTCGTTGAAGGGCTCTGTCTGTGCGCGCTGTGTTTACCCAGTTTGTTTTTAATTCGCTGTTTGCTTTAGTCTTCTTCTGCACAAAAAAAAGTATTTTTCCCGAGATGTGAACAAACCTCATACTGAAAGGCGGAAGTGTGTGCGCGTGCGTGTCTCTGTTTACAGAAAGAATACATTTTACATTGAGAAGTGTGTCAAACTGCAGGATTCTCGCCCCTTTCCAGATGAGCAGCATGAAAATGAGGATTTTTGGGTGTACAAATATCCGATATTTTAGTTGTTGTTCATGCAAAACAATCAAAGTCTGGCCCCTTTTTATGCAGCAATGTAGTCAAAACCTAAAAAGATTTAATATATTTCATGAATAATACAGATAGCATATAAACACGGCGCTGAATTTGACTCATTTTCTGATATCGGTATCATTGCAGCTCTGCAAATATTCACCATCAAGCAAAGGTGTTGGATTCATTTGTTTTCTCCAAACACTTTTTTCTATTTGAACCACACAGGAAGACGTGGAGAATCTCTCCATTGTGCTGAAGTGACACCTCGCAGACAAAGCCTCGCCTGAGCGAGCCCTCGCACCCTGCGAGCGGCGGCCCACTCGCTCCGTTATTGCATTTATTGAGCGAGAGCTCCGCGTTCAAGGGATCTTTGTGGGCCTTTTAATTTCTCCCTCATGACCTCGTTTCCCTGCGTGATGCCGTGCACGTGTGTGGATCCTCGCCGGATGCACCGGAGCTGTTTAGTCGCCTGAATACTTAAACCCACGACCATTGGAATCTACAGGTTCATCAATGAGTAACGTGAGAAATGTGCCATAAAATGCTAAAATAGCAGTTTGAGTTTATCATTAAACGCCTTTATGGTTGATATTCTTAAAAAAATCACACCCACTGGAATAAAGTTTCAGAGGAATGCTATCCATCTCAAATTACCCTCAATGGAATTTCATAGCAGAGATTACAGTGTGGAATAATCTCATCTCACTCTGTCTGTGGTAATTAGGGGCAGCGGATTACGTCGCACTAATTCATGTGAACTACTTGTGCATTTTTGGAACAGGCTTTAATCTTGAAATACATTTTTGCATGTTCTGCTGGCCGATCTTTAGTATGACTTAATGTTTTCCCACTCGTCTGAGTTTGTGTGCGTGTGTGAAGGAGCATGAAATGAAATATTTATTTATGAGTTACATTTACTCTGCAGCGTCATGAATAAGTGCAATCAACATTCCCTAATAAGAGGTGATGGACTCCCCTGTCAGGCTTAGTGATGGTTCATTATATTCAGTGTCATTCTTCATTTTCTCTCTCTGTAAACATTTAGTGGTAGATGGAAAATTTTCTTTCGATAAGATTTAATACAAAGTGATTGACTCAATGTGACAAAAGTGTATTTTCTTTGCAGCAATGTGATTTAACCACAGCTGTTTTCAAAGGAAAAGCTTGGACTTTTTTTGATCCCCGTTTCACTCCGGCTATAGTTGAACTTTGATGTTTTCATTCATTTACTCGGTGACTTCAAACCGTTGGTTTTGTGGCCTTTATTCTGATTCCCGCTCTGATAAGAGACGCCGTTGAGACTCGGAGGGGCCGATTGGCCCTCCACGCGGTGCTTTTCTTTCAACTGGGCTCCGCTTTGATTAGGACTATTTTGTTTTGTTGTTGGATGCACGGCCTTTGTACGATGACCTTTACGATTCCTGCGTGAGAGAAGAGGAACCGTGGGAGGCGCGTCAGCACTGATTTGCTATCAAAGCGAGAGAATTACCGGGATGCGACGCGCTTCTTTTTAAAAGCCTAAGATGCAAACGGAACTTTTTGAGCTTTTTCGTCTTTTCGTCCACACGATGAACGGATCCGGCCTCATAAGGCTGCTTCTAAGTAGAGAAATCTATTTGTGTGGTGCTTTTCTGCTCGGCTTAACCCCCCCCTCCAATCTTCACAAAGGCTTTTACCCAATCGGCCGTTGGACCTCTAAGCTGCGCGTTCATTTACCAATCAGAGCTCCCTAAGACAACAAAACAACTCTTGTCACAGTATGTTTTCTTACTTTATCCAGTTAGCTCGCGTCGAGCAGCTGATCCATGGCGGGGGAATGCTAATTGTTGCTCAGCTTGAGCAAATTTGGGCCCTGGCACAGAGGGAAGCTGCAGTCCGGTCCAAGGAAGGACGGGCCAGATGGTCATGTAACTACAAACAAACAAACAAACAAGCTTGTGGACAAAAACAGCACGTGGGCATTTTAACACCTAACGCGGATGCTGATGGTTTATTGTGTACCTGTCGTTGCAACGAGCTCACTCCAAAATGTCTCATGTGGCGAAAAGAGGGTTCAAAGGAATGAAGTTTGGAGCGTGTTGGAGGGAGCTACAAATCAGAAGATGCCAGCCTCTCTGCGCTTCGTACGTGCTAAATCTCCACATCAGACACAGTAGTTCATCACAAGATTCCCCCCGACTGCTGTTGTGCTGCAGGAAGCAGCTGCATTTGAAAGGAGGATAAATCAGTCATCACCCGGGGAAACCCGGAGGCGTTCCCGGGGGCCCAAACGTATGTGCAACGCCTCCGGGCGCGCTCCGGGGGTCGAGCCGCCGGGGCCTCCGACCGCTCGGACGTCCCCCGAGGAAGCCGCTTAGATCCGCAACCTGGTTTGGGTGGGGGGCGGGAGTGGCACCACCTGCTTCTCACAAGAAGCTACGACCATCAGATCATCAGATCATCAGATCAGCTCAAACTAAACAACACACTCAATGTGGGAAATAAGAAAGATTTTAATAATCATTGGTCACGTCTACCGGCTGGGTGGCCGTGTGCAGTTGCATGTTTGTAGAAGCGGTGACACCGGGTGGGGAAAAGCTTTTAAAGTTGCGCGTGAGGTATAATTACGGACAGTGCTTCAAACCACTGGAAGTGTGCAGCTCCGAGGAGACACTTGCACTTACTTACTCGAGTGAAATGTCACATCGCCGAAGTCACCAAAGCGCAGCAAGAATAACATGTTTACACTCTTGCCCACACTCACGTACACACCGGCCTTTGGGAGTATCGTGCATCTGGTAGACCGTGGAGAAATATAAATCAGCATTTTGAGCCGCTGGATTTGCAGAGGGAGTTTCCTGGCGCACAGATGTTATTAATACCTTTGCTTAAAATGTCACTTCTCCTGTCGAATGAGATTATGTGGCCGGCGGACGCGAGGCGGCCTGTTGTCGCTGCGCTGTTGATTTAAGCAGCACAGAGGTGCAAACTCCGTATCGCCGGCTGCGCGTTGCCAGTCACTCGCTGTCGTCACAGGTCCAGTCAACATGTTTGCCTAAACTTTTCCGGGGATCAGCGCGGGATTCGGCTCACAGAGGCAACTTGTAGTGAGAGGGGGGAGGAGAAATGCGCTTCACAAACCAAATCATTATGTGCTGTATTTCGCTGCCGGGAGGATTCCTGAGATCACTGCGGAATAATCTAATGTCTCTCGGTTATTTTCTCTATTGACTGACACGTTGCTCAGCTGGTTTTTCCAGAGGGCCTATAGGTCACATGCAGAGCGTGTGTGTTAATAGGAGAGTCTTCAGTTTCACCAGCACGGTAAGGTTATACCATGGCTGTGTTTGACTCAGGAAAGGGCCTGTTTTCTTAGACTCGGCGTGACCTTTGCTTTTTCTTTTTTCTTTTTCTCATTGAAAAAGGAGGGGAGTATGCGTAACTCAACGCCACTTTTACACCTGGCTGAAAACGCTACACTTCTAGCAGATCCTTTCAATGCGTCTGCCCAATGCACCACGGCGCTCCTTGCTTCTCTCGGCCCTGATGACTTGCACGCGACCAGTATCACCGGGAGACCCGTGACGTGACACAGGCCTGTTGATGGTGATACAACACTTGCCACTACCTCAGTGCTGGGAAGCGAGACCAGCCTCCAGACATTCACGTGGAATCCGGGGTCCTTTACCAGCAAAGACTCGAAGGGACAAAAGAAACCAACATGGCGGCTTCGCAAGGAAGGCAACGCTTGTGCGCAAACGGAGCTTTACGGATGACGGTTTAATTGGCTTGTTAGTAGCCAGCGATCCTGTGAACGATCCGTCTAACAAGCATCAGTTTGAATAAAACCGTGAAGGCAAAGCAGACGTTTTCTAACGAGGCCCCAGATGCGTCCGCCCGTCAAACACTTGACACATTTCAGAGCGTCGGGCTGCTGAGGCGCTCCGACTTCAACCGTCTTCTTCAACACGTCCAAATGTCAACGTTCTTCTCGCTCCCCCATTATTGCATTGAGGCACTCGCGGGGATGGCGGCATGTCAATCTCTGGCCAGCTCGCGGTGTCCGGCGCTGCGGTGAGCT